AGCTCTACAGAAAGTTCTGGAAGGAAAACTCCAACTCAAGGAAGTTAACTACAACCAGAAAAACATAATCCCACTTTACCAACAGCCAAAAGAAAAAAAGGGGTAGAAATTCTCAAACAATTCCACCACCACCAACCATTCCAAAACAAACAAGGAGTAATCAATAGTCATTAATATCCCTTAATATTAATGGTTTTAACTTGCCCATAAAATGACACAGGCTAACAGAATGGATTCAAAGACAGAATCCATCCTTCTGCTGCATATAAGAAATACACCTCAGCCTCAAAGACAGAATTTACCTCAGAGTTAAAGGTTGGGAAAAGATTTTCCAATCAAATGGACCCAAGAAACAAGCAGAGTAGCAATCCTAATATCTAACAAATTAGACTTTAAAATAAAATCAATCAAAAGGGATGAAGGAGGTCATTTCATACTCATCACAGAAGAAATCCAGCAAGATTAAGTCTCAATTGTGAACATCTATGCCCCAAATACAAAGGCATCTATTACCATAGAAGAAACATTACTAAAACTTAAATCACATATAAAGCCTCACACACTTTTTGTGGGAGAATTCAACATCCCACTCTCACAAGTAGACAGGAATACCAGACAGAATTTAACAAAGAAGCAAAGGGTCTAATAGAAGTTATGACCCAATTGGGCTTAACAGACATCTATAAAACATTCCGTCCAAATACAAAAGAATATACCTTCCTCTCCGTACCCCATGGAACCTTCTCCAAAATCGACCACATACTTGGCAACATATAAAACCTCAACTGGTACCAAAAAAATTGGAATAACTTCATGTATCTTATCAGACCACCATGCGTTAAAATTAGAATTCAACAACAACACAAATTGCAGAAACCCTACAAATTTATGGAAACTGAATAACATGCAATTGCACCATTTCTGGGTCAAATAAGAAATAAAAAAGAAATTAAAAACTTCCTAGAATTCAATGAGAATGAAGACACAACACACCCAAACTTATGGGACACTTTGAAAAGAGTGCTAAGAGGAAAGTTCATAGCACTAAGTGCCTACATGAAGAAACGAGAATAGTCACACTAGAGAATTAACAGCACAACTGAAATCTCTAGAACACAAGCAAACTCCCCCAGGAGGAGTAGATGCCAGAAAATAATCAAATTGAGGGCTGAAATCAACAAAGTAGAAACTAGGAAAACAATACAAAGAATCAATGTAATGACGAGTTGGTTCTTGGAGAAAATCAACAAGATAGACCAACATTTATCCAAACTTACAAAACAGCAGAGTCACTGTGAACATGCAAATTAACAAAATCAGAAATGAAAAGGGGGACATAACAATGGACTCTGAGGAAATCCAGAGAATCATCAGGTCATCCTTTGAAAACCTGTACTCCACAAAATTTGAAAATCTAAAGGAAATGGACAATTTTCTGGATAGATATCACTTGCCAAAATTAAATCAAGAACAGATAAGCAATTTAAATAGACCTATAACCCCTAAGGAAGTAGAAGCAGTCATCAAAAGTCTCCCAACCAAAAAAAGCCCAGGTCCAGATGACCTCAGTGCAGAATTCTACCAGAAATTCAAAGAACAGCTTATACCAATGCCTCTCAAATTATTCCATGCAATAGAAGCAGAAGGGTCTTTGCCAAACTCTTTCTACAAGGCTTCAATAACCTTGATACCAAAGCCACACAAAGACACAACTAAGAGAACTTCAGACCAATATCCCTCATGAATATTGATGCAAAAATACTCAATGAAATACTGGCAAATTGGATCCAAGAACACATCAAAACAATTATCCACCATGATCAAGTAGATTTCATGCCAGGCATGCAGGGATGGTTCAACATACGAAAATCCATCAATGTAATCCACCATATAAATAAGCTGAGAAACAAAAGTCACATTATCATCTCACTGAAAAAGCCATTGACAAAATCCAACACCCCTTCATGATAAAGGTCTTGAAAAGATCCGCAATCACAGGAACATACCTGTGAACATAATAAAAGCTATATATAGCAAACCAACAGCCCCATCAAACTAAATGGAGAGAAGCTCAACTCAATTCCTCTAAAATCAGGAACAAGACAAAGCTGTCCACTCTTTCCATATCTCTTCAATATTGTACTTGAAGTTCTAGCCAGAGCAATAAGACAACAAAAGGATATCAAGGGGATACAAATTAGAAAGGAAGAGGTCAAACTTTCACTATCTGCAGATGATAGTTTACATAAGTGACCCAAAAAAACTCTACCAGAAAACTCCTACATTTGATAATTACATTCAGCCAAGTGGCAGGATACAAGATCAACTCAAAAAAAATCAGTAGCCCTACTATATGCAGACGATAAAAGGGCTGAGAAAGAAATCAGAGAAGCATCACCCTTTACAATTGCCACAAACAACATGAAATTCCTTGGGGTAACGATAACCAAACAAGTGAAAGACCTGTATTTCTTGTTCAAATTGTGTTAAATATTGGGGATGAGAAATGATACGTTTGGTGACACTTGCTTAGAAAACTGAGGCAAAGAAGGCACAAGTTCAAAGTCAGCTCACTTATATTAAGGCCTTGCCTCAAAAACCCAAGGGCTAGGAGTAAGTGAGCCATCACCTGAATTCATTCTTACCAGAGAAAGAAAAAGTAACTTCCTGAGGAAAGACAAGGACATTGAAACACAAAGCTTATCTCTGTGCCAGCAGCAGACTAGGCAGCTCATACTGATGAATTCATGGACTGTATCTAGGGCCCAGAAGCCTGGGATCCTTTCACTCCTGCCTCCAGTTTACAGATAAGGGACCTGAAGCACGGAGCAGGAATGAGGCAGCTTATACCACATGATAGTTTAGTTGGAACATACTTCAATGGTAGAGTGCCCACCCAGTGTGTGTGAGGCCCCAGGCTCCGTCATTAATATCAGAAAAGTAAGCAAACAAACAAAACAAGAGTTGCATATATAAACTAGCCATAGAGTACTTATCCAGCATATTCAAAGCCCTGAGACCAAAATATAGTTAATTATTATAAAAAGTTAGATGAGCCCTTGTCCCTACAGCTGCTGGTACTCGATTTTAGCTTTGCTTAAACAGTAGTCAGTGGACACCCTTCATTGGAATCGCCTATTTGAAAATACCAGATACCTTTGCTAAGGATGTAGCTCAATGGTGTAGTGTATATGTAAAGCCTTTGTGTCCAGCTGTAAGTGAAATGTATAGTAAAGCCTTTGTGTCTGGCTCTGAGAGCAATGTTTCAGCAAACCCTTTGGTATGTTTGACATCATGAGTAGAGGCTGAAAAAATGTTTTGAGACTGCTTAAACTTGAAAAGCTATTTCCCTGGATTGTCTGCACTTGTCATTATGGGAGAGCTTGCAGCTGCACCAACATTGGTCCTAAGACATTCTAACAGAACTGACAAGCCATAATCCAAAGGGGCTGAGATGTGTGTGGATTCTCTGCTCTCATGAGCAGCAAGAGCAAGATTATTTTGGTAATTGGAAATCTTTTCGGCCCCAATTAATCTTATAATTGTTTGAATAAAGTACCTAGAGTAAGCTAGCCAGGTGTCAGCGTTTTCTAAGAAGGCTCTACCCTTTTTCTCTTTTGGAAAAAATGAAGGTTAAGCATCCTGGTGAGCTTCTCTCTCTGCTGCAGCACCTACGACCCAACATTAAACAATAGCGGAGTGACTGCCTCCCTTAATCAAGGTCCAATGTTAGATCTCCAGCACCAACAGCTACATGAAATAGCAGGAGAAAAGGTGAATTAGAAGCTCCTATGCCAACGTTCCAGGAATGCGTTCCCTAGGCGATTCTTACAGTTCAAGATATCCCACACAAAGAGTAGTCATCTTCCGCTCAGCTCTAACGTTTTCAGACATCAGAACTTTTTAAGTTTGCCAACAGTTAGAAAATGGGTGGGTAGGTTTCAACACCTTCAAAGGGCATGGATTCACAGTTGGCACAGTCAGGCTACTTCAGCACTACAGTGATGTGACCGATGCATGCTACCATATGTCAATGCCAATAGTTATTCACATAACTTTTCTTTGAAGCCTCCGGTACTTTCTTCAGAATTATGATGGCTCCTCTTGGTTTAACAAGAGTTCTGTTTGGTTACTAATGTCTGTCAAGAATACGATTTATGAAGCAGATTATGCAACTGTTGAGGCTTCCAATTTCTTGTTGTGGGGTTCCCGCTGCCACCTTCCCCTATTTTCTTTGTGTGTGCTGACCAAGAATCACACGCTACATCTACTGATGTGTGACCATTGCTGCAATTTTCCCAGCATGCCTAAACCTAACTCTCTAACTATTCTCAGGAACTAATACTGTCACTTAGGTTGTTCCCCAGGAAGTCCTTTTAAAAACCGATCCTGGCCCTGAGCCAATATTCTTTAACCCCCCTTAAGTAAACTCAATCCTCTGCCCCAGTCAACTGCACTTAGAACGTCTGTTCTGGGGGTATGCCGCAGTCGACTGCAAATGTCAATAAACGCTTGGGACAAAATCGGGCTGTCACTTGGAGTTTCTTCCTTTGAATCAGCCAGGCTCATGCGCAGAACTTTCCCGCATTTTCCCGAGGTTGAACCTAGATAGCCCAGTCTGAGCCATCAGCCAGAGCCCTGGGCGGGCTAGCGGCAATGCTGGCTGAATGTTTGCCACGAGGGGGCGCCCACGAGCCCCAGAGCGGCGAGGCCTGGCCGCCCCCGTCAAGCCAGGCCGGGGCCTTTCAGTCTTCAGTGGTCCGATCCAACTCGCCAGTCCCCTGCCGCAGCCTCCAGAGAGCTGGGTTCTCAGGCCCACGTCAACACCCCCGGCCCAAAACAGGAAGTCAAGAACGCAGCCAAGAACTAACTGCAAAGCTTCCGGTGGCTCCGCCTCTCGAAAGTACGCGCGGCTCCACCCTTCCCCTCCGCCCCAAGCCGCAGCTGCGCGCGCAGGCGTGTCACGTGACCCCGCCCCGAGGCGGGGCGTGTCGGGACGGCCTGCAGCCAGCCAATGCGCAGTCGCGGCGGAGAATTTCAAATGTGGCTGCCATACTCGTAGCCTGCGTCGCGCAGCGGGAGCCGGAGCGGGAGGCCGGACGAGCTCGCCCGGACCTGAGCGGCCAAGGTACGGGGCGGGCCGGGCGGTGGGCACCGGGGGACCCGGCCGACCGGACGAGTGGCTCGCGGCCGCGCGCGCCCCGCGGTAGGCAGGGCTGCCGCCCAGCGCTCTTCCTGTCCGGCTCTAGCCTGCTGACTTGGGGCAGCTTTTGAGGCGTCTGGCAGGGGCTGACAGGTTTCCGCCCAGCGTGCACAAAGGTCGGGTTCGACTCCCTGCGCGGGGGGGGGGGGGGGTGCACACGCACGAGCTGCAATCAACTTTACTCAATCTGTGTGGCGCTCGGACATCCCCAGGGCAAATTTTAAAAACTTGGTGGTGATAGACTCGCTGGCTTACTCAACCCATTTGTACTTTTAAAAAGTAGTTGCATTTGTTCTGTTAGACACCCCTCTCCGCTCTGTCGTACGTATATTGGTAGAGATGAAATGTCGAGATCTACAGTACCTATTTAAGGCCTCAGATATGCATGGAGGAAAATAAGTCATAAAGAAAATAAGAAAGGAAAAGATTCAAGAAAGCATTTAACTAAGAAGAGATGAATGAAAATAGTCCTTTGTGGTGAAAATCATATGTGCACATTGTGGGCGGCAACAGTTTGCAATTTTGAGATCTGGAAGGTGTAGTCTAGCATACAAACAATGAAAAGTAGCCTGACATGCTGAAGCATGTCTCTTTTATTTGAAGCACATTGATGTTTAATGTGAGTACATGTGTCCTCTGCCCCAAATTAATAATTAGAGAAAAGCTGCTAAACGGAAACCTAGATATCTATATAATCGCTTCTGAACTAATACTGTAATCCTAAACACTAAAGGCTGGCCAGCACTAAAGTGTGTGGCTCACATACATGGTCCCAGATACTCAGGAGGCTGGGAACCTTAGAGCTCTTAAGTTCAAAACCAGCGTGGATAACAGCAGTACCTGTTCCAGAACAATTATAAGCAAAGCCCATTATGCTTAGAACATTGTATACCTCCAGTGAGGATCTACTAAAAAATGAATAGGTGACAATCTCTGGAATCACTACTTTCCTATGAAATGGCAGAAGATAAGACTGTCAGAAACATGAATGATGTTGACGGGAGAAGAGGAGGAGGTTGGTTTTTCAAAGCAGGGTTTCTCCGAGTAGCCTTGACTGACCTCAAACTCACAGAGATCCACCTGCCTTTGCCTACTGAGAGCTGGGATTAAAGGCGTGTGCCACTACCTCCCCCTACTCGAATGACATAGGATTTTTTTTTTCGTATGATGGGCTTGATTCTAAGTCTATTTTTGTTTATTTGTTTTTGAAATTAGTTTTATTAAGTAGCCCAAGCATGAATCATGACTCGAGTGCCTTAGCCTTCTTAGCAGCTTGGATTATGCCACAACACCTGACTATTACTAATATTTTAAAGGTAAAAAAATCATTATGATTTCCTTTTTTGAAGTAAGTTTACAATTTAGTCTTTACTTAATTCCTTCTTTTTTGAACAGCCTGTTTTCATTCCTTAATTTTATATTTGAAAATATCTGAGAAATGATAATTTTTTTTTAATTCATAGACAAAGATGGTTAAGGAGAGGTGTCAGAAAAAGTCCTTTCAAGATAGTCTTGAAGACATTAAGAAGCGAATGAAAGAGAAAAGGAATAAAAACTTGACAGAGATTGGCAAACGAAAGTCCTTTATTGTTGCACCATGCCAAGTACCCAGTAAGAGATTTTTGTGGTGTCTTTATTTTTGTGTGTTAGTGTGGCATTTGTTTGTGTAGTGTGCATTCTTGGGGGGAAGGGCGTGCAGTCTGTTGCTAGAGGAGAAGTTCTGGAGCCTTGCTATAGCTCTCTGTTCTGTTCCCCTGCAAAGGATCTCTTACTGTCTCTACACCCCTCCAACACCTTACCTTCCTTCCTGCCCTATACACACAGTGATGGGGATACCTGTTTGCCTGGCTACACCTGGCTCTATATGGGCTCTGGGGATTTGAACTCTGGGCCTCTCTGATTGCTTAGCAAGCTCTCTTATGCATTCAGCCATAATTGAAATTTTTATTTTATAGCTAACACTTCTACATTGCTGAAAACTTACCAAGATAACAACAGGTTATTAGTTTTGGCTTTGGAAAATGAAAAATCCAAAGTGAGAGAAGCCCAAGATATCATCCTACAGCTGAGAAGAGAATGTTACTACCTTGCATGTCAGTTATATACAGTCAAAAAGAAGCTAACTTCCCAACGAAGTGAAGAAACTGACCAGGTATGCTCATTACAAAGCTCTCCTATGTAGTTTTGGTGTAAGAAGTGCAGCTTTATAAAACCCTTTATAAGTGCTCTTTGGAGAATCACTTTTTAAAAAATAATTTATTACATTTATTTAGATTGTGTGTATAAGTTCAGACAACTTTCAGGTGTTAGATACATATGTGACATACATGTGTAACCTCGCACATATGTACATAGTATACAGCATAGAAAATAATTGCCTTTCTATTTCTTCCTGGTTGTCTTGCACACCTGTGATCTTGTGATTCCAGAATTCAGCATGCTAAATCAGGAAGACCCAAGTTATAGGCTAACCTGAGCTGCGCAGTGAGTCCTTATCTCTGGAACAGATTTTTAAGATTTAGATTACATTTTAAAGATTTTTTTTTCCTTCAGCATTTTAAATCTTTTCCCCCTTATTCAGTCAATTACTAGGGGGATCAGCCTATCAGCATCTGAATCTCTCTGATGCTTCCCAGAGCTCTTAAATGATTCTTTTTGTTTTTAATCTTGTGTGTGTGTGTGTGTGTGTGTGTGTCTGGACATATGTATGTTAGTGTGGATACTCCTGGAGCTATAGGTACAGGCAATTTTAGGCCACTTGAGATGGGTACTGGGAACCAGACTTGGGTTTTTCCAAAGAGCACTGCATACTCTTACACCACATCTCCAGCCCCTGCTTTCTGGAGTTTTTGCTGAAATTACAAGAACTAATAATCAGTGGCTGCTCAGTGGCATAAACCCCAAAGCGGTGGGGAGAAAATTCTACTATTGTCAGCCTTTAACGCTGCCAGTATTTTCAGTTAGTTATGTGTTACTAGTCGCTGTAGAGTCTTCGCATTTAAAAGAAGGGCTTGGATTGTTTTGTTTTTTCTGTCATGTATCTATGTGTATAGCTTGTTCTGAGCCACTCTACTTGTTCTTCAGTGTTCAACAGTAGAAAGTGCTTTTTCGTTTGTTCGTTGGTTTGTGATGGTCTCCATATGTAGACCAGGTGGGTTTAAATGTGTGCCACCGTGCCCAATTTAAGATGTTTTAGTATAAGACGGTCTTCTTGGTCTAGGTCTGTAGCTCAAGGGTGGAAGGAACACCTGTCTAGAATGCATAAGGTTTATTCATCCCCAATGCTGCAAAAGTAATTGTGAAAAAAGTGAAGATTTGGAGCCAGAGACATTATTGGGTAAAGGTATTCGCCTCTTGTTGATGAAAGCCTGACGAACTGAGTCAAATCATTGGGACCCAGATAGTGGAAAAGGAGAACTGACTCCCCATAGCATGCCTACCTACCAAATAAATAATATTTTAAATGTAGAGACAAAGGGAAATTTTTAAGACATTTCCTTCTTGTCTTAGTCAATGTGCTCACTAACTTTTTCTAGTAGTTCCCTGTGTTTTGTAATAAGTCTTTATATTTTTGAGATTTATTTTTAATTATGTATAAGGGGGTGTGAGCACATGATTGCAGGTGCCCACAGAGCTCAGAGGCTTCAGATCCCCACTCCCCAGGGCTGAAAGTACAGGCGCTTATGAGCCATCTAACATGGGTGCTTGAGACCAAGCAGAGAGTGCGTGGCTCCTAGCCACTGAGCTATCTCTAACCCCATAGTTAATCTTTTTAATTATGCTGCTACTATACAACTAAATATTCTCTTCTCCTTTGTCTTGAATAATGTAACTACTTTCAAAGTTAGCCATTTGATACCAGATTGAAACTTTCATCAGAACTCATTCTCATCCCAGTTGTATTAAATGTTCAGTTAGGATCCCTCCCCACACAAGTCATGTGTTCCACAGAGGCCTGGAAGGATCTGTCGCCTTCTTCTGGCCACGTGTGCATATATTCAACAGATATATACACACATGGACTAAATAAAAAATGTAAAATAAAACCAGTATGTGTTCATTAAATTCAAAAGTCAAATTTATTGGGAACTCTTCTAAGTGTTCCCACTGGGACTCATCTTTCCAATAGGAATGTGCAAACCTGTTCTATGTGCTTATATTTTCCCATTGTCTCCTGCTCTGGTTACCCCACACACACACACACACACACACACACACACACAGCGTCAGATATTTCTTGTCTCACCCCCATGAGAATTTGGATCCTCAGTATTTGTTTTCCTTCCTATGTCTCTATTGGATTAGTACATACAGCCAGAGGTGTAGTGTTCAGTATCTCTTGTCTCACCACACAACTTTAAAAAAAAAAAGAACAGAGATGGGAGGGGGGTGGCTAGAGGTGGTGTTCACACCTTTAACCCCTGCATTTGAGAGACAGAGACATGCAGGTCTCTGGGTTCAAGGCCAGCCTGGTCTTTATAGTAAAACCCTGTCTCAGTTGCGTGGACATGACTTCTGTCCTTACTTTTCTCGGTTATGTGTCAAGATCACCAAAGCCTGCATGCATGGCAACGTGTGGCTTGCCCTTGCTCCTTCACTTTACAGTGACATGCAAGAGAAGTCTCTCTGCTTGGAAGCATCAATCTCTTCATCTTCTTCCTATCTTACCCACCCTGGGTTTCCTTCCTGCTTCCTTGCTGTTCCGTGTTAGTTTCCTGTGTTGGCAGCTTCTTTATTGGTAAATGCCAGTTGCCCCAGACAAATGTGATATCCTCCCATGGTTATATAATTGTCTTTTGTTGACTTTCAGATTCGTATATCAAAGCTGGAACACAGGTGCAGATGTACACACTCAGAGCTACCACTTGATTTTAGAAAGCGTCCCAAACAGACTGATACAAAGTGCAGCTCCTTCCTTTCCGGTTCCCAAGCACGCTGTGCACCTCTGCCTTCCTCCGTATTTTTTATCTGCGTACATATTAGTTCCAGTTTGGGCCGTGGGCTCTATGTATAGCTCAGGCTAGCCCAGAACTCAGTCTAGAACCTGGCTAGCCTCACACTGGTCTTCCTTCTACCTCAGCACCAGATTGCTGAGATTACTGTGCTGCTGGGCTCAGTCTTTCTCCAGTTACGGCTCGTTGTCTCAGTAAAGTAGCCTGTGCACTCACTCTAGCCAAACCTGCTTTGTCAGCGCCGCCTCCTCTCTCCCTCTTCAGGCCTTACACATGGAATTTTCTTTCCAAGTGTTCTCATTTGGTAAATGTTAAGAATGAGGGAACCATTGGCAGAAACTCCATGGCAGGTTGCTTAACCCCGAATATGCCAAAGACCCCTGGGGTTATGCATGGTTTATTATGGGGCCATCCCACAGGCTCTACCACCACACCCACAGGCGTTTGCCATGGTGACCTCCCAACTTTTTCCACTCTGGATCCTTGTAAGCCATGCTTCATGTTGGTCAAACACATCTTTTTACTGCCTTACTTAATATTTAAGTGAGTTTCCATCACACTTAGACTAACCTTTCCTTCGCGGTCATAGCTCTCAAGGCTCTTGCCAGCTGGCTGGTGTATGTGTGCCTCCTGCTGCTCTCAGTTCTTGCATTTCAGCTATGACTTTTCCTGTTTCACAACTTTTGTATTTGCTGTCTCCACTGCTTTTTCAAAATTCCTCCAGCTCCTCAATAGCTGATTAGTTCTTACATTTCAGGTCAGAGTCACTGCGTGATAGAGCTCTCCAGTAGTTGCTCTAGATTCACTCTGATAGTGCCTTTATAGCACTTTTCACCTTGGAAATCAGACACGTGTCTCTTTTTTCATTGGGAGGAGGGGCACTCGGGCTGCCACAGTGTGCGTGTGAAGATCAGAGGACAACTTTCAGGTGGTGACCATGGGGTTCACGGACCCAGCTGACATTATGAGGCTTGAATGGCAAGGAATCTTGTCTGTGAGCTATCTTACTAGACCCTTTTTAAAATTTCTTTCTTTATACTAGAATGTAAGCTATAAGAGGGCAGTGTTGGAATCCTAGCCCCTGAAACTGCATGGCAGTGCTGTTGACTGTCAGCAATTATGTATTATTGTTGTTGCAGGCATATATGTTTATTCAGCAATGCATTCATAATACAGAATGCATGTACATACTTCATAGCAGTAAACAACTATAATGGTGTTTTCTTTTGACTTAATATATTAACAGAACCCGAAAGGATCTCTCTCAGAAGTGGTCTCCAGTAGTGACATCACCATCCGCGACTTGTCTGAGAAGACTTTACAGTTAGTGCCAAGTCTTTATTGTTTCTATTACTCCTCCATTTGTAAAAGGAAATTGACATCATTTGTGTTTATAGTCTGAGGCTTTTTCTACTAGGAGTATACTTAAGAGAATTTGATATTAAAATATTGTTGTATGTGGGAAGTTAGAGCTTTCTTTTCCTACTGTTTAGTGGCTTTAATGACTAGAGTTAGAAACTCACGAACTGTTTTCTTTCAGTAGGGTTTTTTTGTTTTTGTTTTTTGGTATGTCATGTTTTCATTGTGGTAAGAAGTCATTGTTAAAACTAATATTTTTTTTCCAGACCTAAAAACTGACCAATTTATTGTGAGGGGGTTGAACTATCACTGTTTAATACCTGTGTCTTATTGATCAGGTCTGATTCAGATGCCCCTTTTCCCTTTTCTTTGTGGATATTTTTGTTCTTTCGTGAACTGTTGAGATTTATTGTATATACCAAAATACCCAGCTCTTTTTTTTTTTTTGATCATTTACTCCTCCCCCAACTATGAGATCCTACCTTCCTAACTAACTTTGTGTTCATTCTCTTAAGGTGGAGGGGGAACAAGAAACACAAAAATGAAAATCAGAACAGTCAAAAAGCCAGTAAGACAAAAAAAAAGGCTCAAACAAAACAAAAAGTTCACAAAAATACCACTAAGTCTGTTTAGTGTTCTCGAACTGTCCTGGAGTGTAGTTGATATACCCTTTGGATCTTCATTGTAGAAAACTGATTTTCTCTTTGCCAGTATGAACGATTCAGCTCTTACACCATTTGGTGAGTTTGACTAACATATGTAGCTATAGATTGAAAACTTGGAAGGCTGATATAGGAGGACAATCGTTTAAAGATGACCTGGGCTATATGGCTAAACCTTAGCTCATGACAAATAAAAATCTAGAAAAGCTAAAGAATATGGCTTCATTCCACCTAGATCTCAGCCTTGGCGGTGCTGGCACTGAGTTGTGGCTGCCCATGTACTATTGGATACTTCAGTGTTCTTGGACTATTGGCCTGCATCACTGTGCCAAAAGCAACTCCCCCCCGCAGCTGTGAGGACATCGGTACTCCCAGATATTGGCAGTTAGACCCAAGAGTGCCATAGACAATGCTTTGTAGTTCTCTCACGTCTGTCCATGTCTTACAGAAGGAGCCATAAATACTATGAATTTCTAGCCCTACAGATTATTGTTAAACTGTACTCGTTTTAAATCTGTTGGATTTTAAGATCTGACAAATGAAGTTAGATGAGATAAGGTAATCAGATTTTTATTAGATTTCAAAATAATCATTAGCTCTACTCTTACCAAACCTATATTTTAATTTTTATAGCATCAACTGGAAAGTTTTTATATACAAAGAGTAAAATCGCAAATTGTCAATAACGGGTTTTGAGCACAAGAAAACTTGGTTAATGAAGCAAAAAAGAATCTGAGTTTAAAAGAAAATGGGCAGAACCAGTTTCAGAAGAATCTATAGTTGATACCATTAAAGCATATATTGTCACCAAATGACAGCTCCCCTAGTGCTGTCAGGTCCTGAAGAGCTGAGCGGCAAACTTTATTCTTAAGAACTTCAAGACAGTTTGGATTGACTGTTCCTTCTGTGACATGAGGTTGTGTTAAAGACCTGACCTCATATAAGCAGCATTTGGTTTTCTGTGATAGGGAACAAGGTCTGTGGATTTGGACTGCAATTGTGAAATGATATAACAAGCGTACAGCCTGGGAAAATGTTGGCTTTTTACGCAATTGCTAAGATTCTGTTTTTCATTGTTATTCTATAAGGCAAACTGCTCTTGAAGAAAATGGCTGGCCATTCCAAACCAGAGGTAAGTTGGGTAGAAAAATCTAAAACTACTGATTTTTGTGAATAAGTAAACTAGTGAATTTTTTTTCGTTTTCTTCCTTTTTAATTCTTAAGTCTGCTTATCTGTTATTCTGCTCAAAGTAACTTTATTTTACATAGACTGATACAGGATTAAAATAACCTATCCAGCCGGGCGGTGGTGGCTCACGCCTTTAATCCCAGCACTCGGGAGGCAGAGGCAGGTGGAATCTCTGAATTCGAGGCTGGGCTGGTCCGACAGCCTCCAAAACAATACAGAGAAACCCTGTCTCGTAAAACCAAAAAAATAAAAATAAAAAATAACCTATCCAAAGCATGTGGGGTGGCTTATACCTATATTCCTAGCACTCAGGAGGGTGAATGTACTAGTTAGGGTTACTATTACTGTGAAGAAACACCATGGCCAAAAGCAGTTTGGGAGCAAAGGGTTTATTTCATTCGCAGTTCCATATAACAGTTCATCATCAAATGCAGTGAGGGCAGGAGTTAATATAGAGAACATGGAGGGTGCTTCTCATGGCTTGCTCAACCTGCTTTCTTATTGAACCCAGGACCATCAGCCCAGGAGTGGCTCCACCCACAGTGCACTGGGCCCTCCCACATCAAGCACTAACTAAGAAAATGCTCTACAGACTTACTTACAGCTTGATCTTATGGAGGCGTTTTCTCAATTGAGGCTCCCTACTCTCAGATGAGTCTAGTTTGTGATTAGATGACATAAAGCTAACCACAGTGAGGCAATGAGGTCAAAAGTTCAAGGCCATTAGAGTGCACAGTTGAGACCCTGTCAGGAAAAACAACAGCAACATACCTATTCATCGTGCCAGGTCTATAAGGAGGAATTATGGTTGTGTTGTAGCTGCAGTCAACTGCTATATACTGTAGCATTTTACATATATTGTCTTAGTGTAACACTGTTGTAGCCTAGGAACATAATTCATTTTCTGTAGCCTCAGAAGTAAAGCATCTTACCAGAAGTGATTGACAGGGAGCATGCACAAAATGGATGTAATTTGAGTAAGCAAAAACAGGTGAAAACCCTCCTGTTCCTATAAATACAGAAGATATTTATCTGAAATGCATAATTAGCCATTACCCAAATCTTAGTCACCTTCAAAATATAATTTAACTTCTACTATCTCACTTTAGAATTGGAAGTTCTCTTTGTGCTTAGAGATTAAACAGAGAGGTTATTCCTTTTTCTTTACACTGTTGAACCAGAAGTACATAAAACCCCTCTTATATACGAAGTGCGTGTATATTTGCTTATGTGGGGAGTGTTTGGTTCTTTTGAGACAGGGTCTCACATATGAAGACCTGGCTTTGAACTCAAAAGAGATCCTCTGCCTTCTGAGTGCTAGAATTAAAGACAGACACCAGACTTCAGTTCTTGTTTTATTTTGGAACAGTGTCTCTTTCTGTGGCCCAAGCAGGCCTAGAGCTATGTGGCACAGGCTGGACCTCACTTGATCGTTCAGCATCTGCCTCCCAAGTATGAGCTACCACACATGGCTTTTCATTCCCACAGTATTTTTAAATGCTGATGTAAGCTGTTGGTTGTTCAATGATGAGTAAATAGATGGTGACTATTGAGTTTTCTACATTTTTCTTTACTTATAGTAAATAGAGTATTGAATAACTGCTGCAACTTTCAATTCTAATGTTCTTGGAATGCAAATTTCTGAAGCATAACACTGTTCCTCATTTGTTTCTTAAATGTTCAGAACCAAGTCCTGTTCCTCCAGACACACTGGGGAGTGATTTTGATTCAGGTAAAGTCAAGTCTACTGATGATATCTTACCTAGGACTGTGTCTTTCCGTCGCCCCATAAAGAAAGCTTTTAATAATGTAAGTCGCTCCCCTGCTTTGGAAGACTGTGAAGCCAATCATCGAGTGGGACAGTCTTTGGAAGTTAGAAGTGTGTGTAAAGACCCAGTTGTAACTCTGTACAGACTTGAAAATGTAGAACAAAATGTTTGTCTGTGGAACAAAGACCAAGTTAATTTATCCCCTAGACTGACTTGCCCAGGAAAGAGTGCTAAGACGAAAGAAGTCATTTTGCCATCTAAACCCGAACAAATGAAAAGTAAGCAAAACCATGCACTAAAAAGAAGAGCAGAGCAAAGAGGAGGCAACCAGAGATGCAGATCAAAACTCTCAGTGAGGTGCAAGGGCAGCAAAGGCAGAGATGAGCACACTGTGCACCCCACAAAGTTGAGTGGTTCTGCCGGTGCCAGTGACGCATATGATTTTAATCTGGAAGAGCGAGTTCACCTCACCCCTTTCCAACAAAAAGGGAGCAATGATTCCAGTGGAGAGACCAACAGCAGCCACAGGGAAGGAAGTGCTTTGGAACTGAGTGCCTCTGAGGATGAGTCTGACGACTCCTACCAGCCTCCTTACAAGCACTTGGAAGACCACATGCGAGAGTCAGACAGACCAGTTACCAGGTCTCTGCCTAAAAGAGGACTCAAGTACATGGATGAAAAAGATACAGAGAAGGCTACGCCAACCCAAACTCCTACCGGTAAGTGTGCTTATTTGCCTGGGTTTTGATGTGCTCTTAGATGCTATACCTGCCACACATTACTCTGGGAGAGGCTAGAGACTTCCCTTATGTGCTCTCTGCAGGGGAAGTTATAGCCTGATTAAATGGTAGAGGTGGAAAATGGAAACATGGCTGTGTTATTCTGTCTTACTTTAAACAAATAGGAATCTTACAGGACCTGAGACTTTCGAGCAGGGTGAAGGACAGGTTGTGGTTGGATTGAATTAAAAGATCTTCTTTACACTTGTGATCACCTGGAAATTTTAAAAAACAACAAAAAAAACCTATTTTAATGGACTTACTATATATTTAACAGGAACCATTGCTTATTTTTCTAATTGAATGTGAGCTTGTGAGAAGAAATTCTTTTCTCATCTGCTGAAAACTTAGGTCAGAAACTCTTGCTTTTATCAAAGTGATTCAGCATTAGTCATCAGCCTGCACCTACTCAAAAAGACTCCTTTGGGAATTTGATTCCAGTGGCAATAGTTCCATGCTGTCAGGTCCTATTATCTTCAGAATGATGTCACATTGTAACAGCTCAGTCAGCATGCTTGATTTGCTTAACTGGGATATTAAAGCCTGAAACAATGAATCAACTTTCCTAGTTGAACAGCTAGACAGTGTAGCTTACAAGAGTCTATTTTTAAACTATGTATCATGAGTATTCCTTCGGCTTTCAGTCGCTGTTTCTCTTTTTCTTAATTAATCTGTTTGTTCTACTTCAAATAAAAATACTTTAATGATAGAATAAATTGAGCAGGATTGACAAACTGTTGGTAATTATTGAAATTGAGTAACATAGGACTTAACTATTGTTAACACTTTTAGTGTTCTTTTGAAAACATTGTTTCAAACAGAACACAAACACTGAGATAGTTTGACCCCAGACTTCCACCAGCAACATTACCTGAAAACAGCCATAATCACAGGTTCTGTCCTATCCCTTGAATTAGAATTTGAGTGTCTTTATAAATTCTCCTGGGGGTTTATAAACACTGGTTTAGGAAGCATTCTAGAATATAACAGCCAGTCTAATCCTGTTGCTTGGAGGTAGTCTACCCTATTAATACTGCAATTGTTGTATATGTTTAATGGTGACAGGAGAGTATCTGACACCTAGATACTCTGTAGTTAAAAAACTCTATTGTAGAATATTGTCTTTCAGTGTTCTCACTATGCATAGGGTACCTGCCTCCCAATAGATGTAGCTGTGAGATAAAGGACATCTGAGTTTTGTAACAGTAGCACCAGAGGGAACACATTTTATCCTGGTCTTCATGGACTGATGGAGAGTTCTTGTATGTTTAAAGGAATGTACTGAAGGACCTTTGTAGGCAGTGGGTCTCCAACAGTGTTACAAACTTTGGTGTTGAATGAGACTGGGACCTTGATGATTCTAAGTATTAAAGTGTGACTAAAATGCAATTTGCTACTTTAAACCAATTCATAACATCTAAGCTACTGGGGAAGAAAGTTAAGTTTTGGTAAATAGTTCTGTTGCAGCTAGAAGTTCTTTACATCTTCCATAGTTTACATAATCTGGCTTGAAAAGAAGAAAACGCAGGAGGAAGTTTTTAAAACATAGATCATGAAGTGTATTTTGTATATCTAAAATATGTAACTGAGCGTATTTTTATTTCTGTGGATTTTGTCTCTTGGATCTATATTCAATAAATACTGTATTGTAGATATCCCACCTGAGACTGAAGAGTCACCTGGTTGTAGCCTAAAGGATGTCACAAATATCCTGATGCATCCTGTAGTGAAAATTAGGAAACTGTCTCTGTCTCCAAGAAGGCGTAAAGACAGCCCAGCAGTGCCTCTGCCTAAGCGCAGGTGTACCACCATCATAAGCTATAAAGAGCCAACACTCGCTTCGTAAGTACTGTGTGGACTTGACTGTAATGATCGACTCTTAACAGAAGGGCTGAAAAAGGGCTTTAGCTGTGAGCAAATAATATTTGAGGACTAAGCCTGGCATATTTTTAGAATAATACTATGCTGAATTAATACTGCTCTATTTGTAATCATGCCTAAAATCTTTACTTACAGGAAACTAAGAAGAGGGGATCCCTTCACAGACTTGTGCTTCTTGAATTCTCCTATTTTCAAGCAGAAAAAGGATATGAAACGTAGAAAAAAAAGTACAAAGCTAACACAGTAACTCCTTTTGTTGGATGCTATCAAAGGAGATTCTTCACTTTTGCCTAGTAGTCTGTGAGACAGTATGTACTGGGCAGACCCAATTCTTATCTGGATGTGCCTTAAACCTACACTTTGTAATTGTGTGGATTGCTACCAACATCAAAAATTTCTCTGGCATCTTTACTTTTTCCTTAAGCAGGGGAATTGCAGAGTTGAAAATTTGTAAAGATAAGATAGTTCTTTCATGAATCCTTGACATTACAGTAAGATATAAGTTGCTGAGAGTCCCTTATTCTACTATCATATAGATCCTTTAGATAAAATATATATAAAATCATGATTAAGAGAATTGATGGGTTTAGTTCTGGGACAAGGTAACTGTTATTAGAACTCTCAGTGTGTGTAATATCATTCCTTATTAGAATGATAACATGTCGTGAAACCCAGGCTAGCTCTTAGTGTTGTCAAAAGTCTACAAATTTGTGAATAATAAGGGTTTCTAGTTTTGATCTAAGTACAAAATGTAAGTAGCGCAGGTCAGAGAGTTGAACCTCTACAGGTGTGTATATATTTCTTTAAATTGAAATCACTGTAAGTGGTCCATTTTTGAAGAACAATGAAGTATGGCCATTGTGGTGGCCACAATATAGCATAAAGGCTGGCCAGGCATAATGGTGGCCATTGTATTTTCCTTCTACTCTTAACTGTCAAGTCATTTTGATTCCTTCCTTTCTGGCCTTTACCACTCCCAGCTCAGTTGTATCTTCTGTCATTTATGTCAGCCTTCCCCTTCCTTTCACATTAGATTTGTCTTACTAACTTTTCCCACCTGCAGCCTTCAGGCCCAGAATCAAGACATTTCAATTTGGGGCTCAGGAGTAGAACACTTGCCTCATCAGGGCAAGACCCAGGAATAAACCCTACTGCAAACAATAGATTTTTAGATTTATGAGAAGGGCCTTCCAGTGTTCATCGCAGACTTTACCCACACCTCCATGACTTCCTACATTTCCCTTCAGTCACACTGAACGTTCTTCTCTGTCACTCTTGTGCATCTATTCTCCCATCACAGTCTTATTTTTCCAGCCACTCTCCTTTTTCAGTGCTGAAGACAGAACCCAGGGCCTTGTGTGTGGTAAGAGCACAGCCACAGTAGTCTACAGCCACTCCGCTTTATCTTTTGTAGTGTCATAGTACCTCGAGAGTGACCATTTTAGCCAAGAATAAACACAAGTTAAAGTCCAGTTTCATCTCAGTGGACCTCACGTGGCTGTGATTACCACAGTGCATGCTGCACAGAGGTAGACTGTATCCTGGTCCACATTGAGCAAGGTGGCTTGTGGACCATGTTTTGTACAAGCTAAGTTTAGTTTTTGTGTATTTAAAAAGTTGAAAACAAGCCGGACGGTGGTGGCGCACGCCTTTAATCCCAGCACTTGAGAGGCAGAGGCAGGTGGATCTCTGTGAGTTCCAGGCCAGGCTGGGCCAACAGCCTCCAAAACAATACAGAGAAACCCTATCTCATAAATAATAATAATAAAAAAAGTTGAAAACAAATATTTGGATTAAATTTGCTATTTGGCCTGCAGCCCCAGATATTTATTTCCTGGTCCTTTTTTCAAAAAACTTTTCCATAGCCTGGTATGGTATGATGGTTCATGCCAGTAATATCAGCAGGATCTTGTTTTGACCAACTGTATTACATGATCTCAAAAGGCCAAAGAATACTTCTCTACTTCCTTCTGTAGACACCTGAATGTTCACTTCAAAGATCTGTGTGCCTTGTGTCAGCCCTGATCCTCACTCTATGCTGGTCACTGTTCTTCCTATTTTAGTTTGTGTGTTGCCAAAGCACACACCAATCACTGTTGTCTTAAAACTGCTAGTAGACTTTTAGTCTTTTTCATGTTTCTGTATTCATAGGCTGCTAAGGATTTTGTGTCAACATTTTTATCTGATAAGTGCTGTATATTAAATATATGTGTATATTAATATGTATATACGTTGTGTATACTGATTTATAATTGACTAAAGAGTTTGAGACTTACCATGTTGGTAGATACGTTATATTTGTTGTACAATATCTTAAAAGTAAATCAGACTAATGCCTCTTTTTGGAAATAGTTGCTGCTTTCTTGCTGTTTTAAAGATTACAGCTGCAATTACTATTTAGGTCTCCAGAGCCTTCTGTAAAGACCAGGCTCCTCAGCAGGGTGTTTGATGATGTCCAGCCAGGTCCTCTAACACATCAGCTTACACGCCAACCTCACATTAATCTTACCTCTGAATTCCCTGGTGTTCTATTCCTTTTCCAATAATAGTCTTAAAAGCTGGCATTTAACTCCTAGTTTTTTTACCTTGTAAAAGGTGTTAAGAGGAGCAATTCTAACTGGGTGTGGTGGTGCAAGCCTTTAATCCCAGCACTCAGAGACAGAAACAGGTGAATCTGTGAGTTTGAGACCAGCCTGGTCTACAGAGCAAGTTCCCAGGCAGCCAGTATTACACAGAGAAACCCTGTCTTGAAAAAAAAAAAAAAAGGAGGAAGAGAGAAATTTTTTAAAAAAGGAGCAATTCTACAAGAAGATACATATAACAAGTAGCTTTGTTCCTAGAACAGATGGAGAGCTGTGGCTTGAAGGAGGATTCATTAGGGTGTGCCACAACCACATGACAGAACTCAGTTCCTTTTAGCTTCAAATTCAGTAATTGATCAATAAGATGTATCTGCCAGAGATGTAGAATGGTAGAGCATGTGTGAGACCCTTGACTTCAATACCGAACACCACACCAAAAGAGTAAAACTAACATGGAGATGAGAGGATGTGTAACCTACAAATAAATAATCTATCAATCAATGCATTGAGATCTGGAGAGGAGCCTGACGCAGTGAACACTGTGACTCAAGCCAGTGAGATGGCTCAGTAACAGCACTGCCACCAAGATTAATTAATTGTCTGCTTGATCCGTAGAACCCAAATGGTGGAAGGAGAGGACCAGCTCTACAAAGTTGTCCTCTGACACCACAAAATAAATATTTGGAAAAAAAATTCACAAGTAGCTAGTAGGCGTGGTTCGGTTCATGTCTTTAATCCCAGTACTCAGAAGCATGAGCCAAGAGGATCTAAGTTTAGGACCAGTTTACACCACATAATACAGTTCTGTCTCAAAGATGGGGAAGTATGTTACCTATGGATGGTCCAGAACCAGAGAGTACAAATTTCATGGTCTGATGAAATCAAAGGACAGGACTCATCTTTGGACTAGAAAGGACCATGAGGGACTTTTCATCTGCCTCCTTTAGAGTAGTTGGTACTGGGTTAGATACACTGGTTAGAGCAGTGAGATGGCGTAACAGGCGAAGGTGTGTGCTGGCAAGCCTGATGACTTGAGTTTGAGCCTCTAGAACCTTCCTCATGCTGCGGTGACCCCAACCATAAAATTATTCCATTGCTACTTCATAACTGTTATGTTATGAATCATAATGTATATATTATATTTTCCAATGGTCAGTGGGGGTCATGACACACAGGTTGAGAACCACTGCAGAAGCAGCTTCCATTTAAAGAATGTGAGATAGCCACCATGAGAGAGGAGTGTGTGACAGAACATAGAGAAGCTAGTATAAAATGAGAGTTGTTAAGTCACAGCACAGACTCCACATTGATTCTGTAAGATCTGGCAGAAAGTGGGTCCCTGTGTGAACATACAGTTCATCCTGAGGAACCGTGAGTTTTTAGCTTTACTTACTGAGCATGGCTAAGGCAAGAGTGTGAGTGCCTCTAAAGCTGCTGACTGGGAAGGTCTGCACTCATCATGGATCATGGCTGAACAAATGGAAGCCTTCCCACCCCGTATATGCTAGCACCTCACATATAGACTCCCTACCAGGGTGCAGTTAGGGAAAAGTTGCCCACAAATGCCTGAGATGGGTGGTTGAGTATGCAGGCAAGTACCTAATAACTCCTGTTGCATACCCTTCTGTGATAGGACATCAGCTGTCCACAGCCCATGGAATGGACTCTTGGAAGCATGCAACAGCTGATCTGATACAGATTGTGGCTGTTTGACTCAGACAAAATAGAGTTCCCTGATTACATTAAAGGTGACTTTCTTTGCAGTTTGTAGTTGTTCTCAATCTCCTTTAAGCATCTTTTTGTTGACTTTGTTGGCTCTTCCCTACAAAGATAACCTGGAAAACTTCACCTGCCCTTTGTCCTAATTTCCTGCCTGTGCTATGATAAAACACCCTGACCAGAAAGCTGCCTGGGAGAACTGCTTACAGTTGTAGATTACAGTCCATCCAGTGGAAGTCAGGGAGAAACTCGATCACTAGCAGCTTGTCACATCTCATCCACAGTTGAGAGCAAAGAAAACTGCATGGACCCATGCTGCCAGCTCGCTGTTGCCCAGCGTTCATCCCTCCCTGTTCTTCCACCATTCAGGGCTAAGCCCATAAACTAGCGCTACCCACAATGACTGGCTGGGTGTTCCCACATCAACCAATCAAGACTCACTAAACATCCATAAGTAGTCCTCAATTGAGGCCCTCAGATGATTCTAGGTTGTGACAAGTAGGCATTTAAAACTAAGCATCAGGGCTGGGGAGATGGCTCACTGGCTGCTCATCTAGAGGACTCAGGTTCAATTCTCAGATAGAGGTTCACAACCATAACTCCAGTTTTGGGGGACTTGATGCCTTCCTTGCCTTCTTGGGCAGTGCATGACATGGTTCACAGGCATCCATGCAAACCAAACACACATAAAATCCCAAAACAAATTTATAAAACCATCACCCTTTAAATTCATCTTTACTTCTTTATCCAGCACAAACAATAATGCTGATTTTTGCCTGCCAGTCTTCATCAGAACTTAGGCTTATAGTATCATATACCCAAAGAACATATGTGCTACAGGAGTTCTAATACTGAATCTGTTCACTCCTACCACTATACACCCCATCCATTCTCTGCACAAACATAGAGTGCTTTCTTCTTGAAGCCACTATGATAGTACACATCTCTAATCCTAGCCCATGGGAGGCTGAAGCAAGAAGACTGAATTTTAGGCCAGGCTATATAGTGAAATCTATGTCAAAAGCATGAATTAATTTTCGAGTCATCTAAATGTTCCAGCAGATGAAAAACTATGTCAAGCCAGCTCCCATACCTTAAATATAAGCTTGCGGTGATTTCAGTATTCCAGGGTCAACGGACTCTTTTTCTCTTGGGCATTTTAATTTGCCTAGAGGAGACTATGGCTAAGATCTAGAGCTCAGACCAATATGGAAAGACCAAGGCCTGCAACTAGTCTTCATCATCTCTTCAGTTAAAGGGGTTGGGGGGTGGGGCTGCTATGAATGGCATCAGCCTGTCCACAGTACCCCAGTCTAATCTGCTTCTTAGCTTCCTGTAACTGAAAATTGCATTTCAAGAAAAATGTGAAAAGCCCAGCCATTTCAATTTGTTCTAGTAAATGCAGTAATGTTGGCTTATTTGTTTAATTGGTTTGGTTTGAGACAGGGTCTCTCTATGTAACCCTGAAACTCTATGTAGACAAGTCTGCTCTCAAACTTACAGAGCTCTGTCTACCTCTGCCTCTCAAGCACTGAAATTAAAGGCCTGCACCACCACAACTGGTTAAATGTAGCTATTTTACATTGTTGGCTGAGTAATCGAAACATTGAGGTGAGGAGGGGTAAAAGGTGGTTGGTTAATCCAGTAAAGCCAGTTAAAGGCACTTGATGCCAAGGCTGATAACCAGAGTTCACAACCCAGATCTTAAACTCACACATGTACAAAATGATTCAGCTGGTAAAGAATTTGCCATGCAAATGATGAGGGGCCTCATTTGGATTCCCCACCCCCACCCCATGTTGGAAACAGGGATGCAGCTGGGCTCTTGGAGTTGGTTCGTTGGCTAACTAATGTAGCCTAATTGGTAAGCATAGGTTCAGGGAGATACCCTACCTCAAAGCAGAGAGTTATTGAAGAAGATACCCATCACCCTCTGACCTACACACACACACACACACACACACACACACACACACACACACACACACACACGTACAAAAATGGAGATAATCCACTATACTATATATAGGACAGAGAGAAAAGTTAACTCATGTGGAGGACATCCAACATTTGTCTCCCCAGTGCACCTCATCTATCCCCCACTTGGAGAGACTCAACCGCACATCTGTAGGTATGGGTTGACATGTCCATCTGCCCCCTCCTCTCTCTCATTGGCACTAGTGGAGATGAACCCAGAGTTGTGAGCATGACAGGTGGTGCACAGCTTCCCACCTGTGCTTCTGCCAAACCTGCCTTCACACCATCCATTGCTTTTAAAACTACAGACAGCTTAAAAGCCAAAGCTACCCCCGGCTCAGGAAGTCATTGAATACCACAGCTACTATGGGTCCTCACACATACATAATTCCTAGAGAGAGTTTTAAGGATGGGAGATGTTTTAAAATCACATGTGTTTTGCTCTTTTCTCATTCTCTGACAGATATAAAGTGAAAAATATAATGAAAAAAATTTAATTTCTAACAAATTTTCTTCAATGGTGGAGTTTTAGTGAATGACACAAAAGACAGAAGTGTCTTCCCCCAACTCTCCAGCAGACTGAATTTTTTTTTTTAGTTACATGTATATGTTTGTATATGTGTGGATATTTGCATGAGAGTATGGGTGCCTTTGAAGAACATAGGATGGCATGAGATCTCGAGCTGGAATCAGAGGCAGTTAATTACAAGCCATTAAATGTCGGTCCTGGGAATCAACCTCAGGTCCTTAACACCAAGCCTTCTCTCTAGCCCTAAATATAGGGTTTGCTTTGCTTTCTTTATAAAACTTCCTACAACTGCAGCAATTCTAGACATGTTCACAAAAGCTTAAGAGCTAAGGATTAAGGGCAAAATCAATGATCATACCAGCTGACACATTGCCCTGCTAACCTCAGACTGTTAGTGGAACAAAACATAACACCAGACAGAGTTTTCCAAAATATAATTTAAAATTATTTTGTACCAGTACAATATATTAATTTTACAAATGTAAAGTTTTTATCGACTGTTAAAGCATTTGCAAAAACCACACATTCTATTTCAGCTTTATTGCACAATATCTATAAGAAAATATTAATTTTTAAATTAGAAAACATA